TAATAGATAATAACTTTAATTAGTTAGTTCCTCAGGGCACAGCCCTTAAAGAAGGGAAACAATAGCTAATAAGTGATTGATTCTGTCACATAAAATACACAAATCTATCAATATGGAAATCTGATAAATAATTAAATTAATAATTACAACCAAAATCACCATATCAGTAGCTTAAGCAGAATGATCTGGAGTTCTGCATGGGAGAGGTTGGTATCACCCACTCTTTTATTAATAGGCCAGCATTTATAAACACGACCATTTATTAAAAAGATAATAATGTGAGTGCGCTTCAAATGAGCACGAAACACGTGTTGGTCAGACACAAAGGAACATGTGAAAAGCGTGAGGTTTGAGTTACCTCCCCTTCCTGTGTGTGCTGAGGTTTAAAGAGTTAGTGGCATGTAACGATAGTATTGAGGTGAACAAGCAAGTATGAATAAAATAAGTGAGTCATTGAGCTGGATCCTTCCTTGGGATGCTGTCCGTGTGAAGCGGTGTCTCAAAGACTACAGTTACAGCCGTGACCTAGGTTGAACATATTGACATCGTAACAATAATGAAAATCAGTACATTAACATTAACAGAGGGTTAAACAGTCCTGTGTTTAGCCGGTAACCCTGTTAAGTTATGTGAATCTGTTGACTATCCAGGTTTAAAAGAGTTGTCGTCCTGTCATTAAAAGTCCTTGCTGTGCAGGTCGCGGGAAGAAAGGTGTTTTGCTCTGTTTACTTTGTTTTCCTGCAGCTCACAGCTCTGCGTTAACTTTCCTTTGTGTCACTCCTGTAGAGTCAGCTGGCAGACTTTGTGTCAACTTCTGCAGTTTACTCCCATTACACACTTTAATCCTTTCTTGTGCCTCGGCGGTGGGCCTGATCGCACCGAGGTCCGGAGGCTTATCACCCGGTGTGGGAGAGGGAGAGAGAGCGGAGAGAAAAGAGTGAAAAGAGGACGAACAATGGGATGCCGAGGAGTTTTGTTACCAGGACACTGTGCCATCAAGTTGTATCAGATTATGGTCACAGGAAGTGACTGGATGAGAGGTAACAGGAAGTGGCCCATCACAATAAAAGTCCAGTTAAATCACACCGAATGAACAAATGACAAAAACAGATAAGTTTGAAGGAGCTACCAGCCACAGCATCTGCATGCTCAACCATTTCCATAGTCAAAATCTCCTGATCATCTATCTTTATCAATTTGGGCATCGCCCTTTAAAATCAAATCCAATCAGACATTATGCAATGATGTTTGATGAAATGTAGCAAGTTTATAAAATCTACCGGCCCCTGCATCTACATGTGCCACCAGTTAACCAGTTTTTTACTATATTATCATTCATTATCTGTTTATACACTACAGTAGGAGTTATAGTTGTTGATAAAAACTGAAATAAACATGTATGTCACGTATAAACCATTTACTCAATGTTATACTGCTTATAAATCTTAATAGAGCTCATAGTGCTCATATTGGTGAACATGTGAATTTGACTGCTTATTTTGGAAATTTAGACAGATACTGTGTTTTGGGCTGATTTTCAAAAGCCTTCCATGATATTTTAGTCCTCAGTCTTCATGTGTTACCATAGTCAGCAGGAGATTTTTGCTTTCCCTTGTGGGTACATTAAAACAGCAGCGAGGGGCATCTAAGGCAAAAGCTGATGGGTTCAATCAAAGTGCGTGATGCCTGTCTGCTTGAATCACCTCCGTAGAGAATGCTCCACTGTTCCACACTAAGACTCTTAAGAAATGTGAAATCCAGATGGTATTGAGGTGAACAAGCAAGTATGACTAAAATCAGTGAGTCATTGAGCTGGATCCTTCCTTGGGTAACAGTGTAGCTCTAGCTTTTGGTAATAAATTTTGAAAGAGAATAGAATAGATTTTAGTCCGTATCAAGGCCTACATCAGGCTCCAGCAGATGCTTTTGTTATAGACTATGGTTCAGCGTGTGTATCATGGAACTAGGTTTTTTCTAAGTTATTTAACTTAAGTTCAGTTCTTATTTATTCTGTTGCTAGCAATATTTTAGTTCATAAATATGGTTTACTAAAATGCTGATGCCCTTCCATCTGTCGTTTGCAGTAGAGCTGCTGCTTGTAGGCTAGAATATTAACATGGGCATATTTAACTTTGATGCATATTCACACAGGACAGGTTTTATGATGCATATTAACACAGGCTTTATAGTGTGAATGAATATGCACAGGCAAAAACAAATTTGACTTTTAACTATTTTTGGCCCAGATTTCCCATTTTGGCTGCGTAACTGGGGGAAATACATTTCAAACCTGATTGTAGGACTTTGATCTAGATCAGAGCTTCCCCTCGTTGTAGAAAACAACAAGAGTCTGTTGATCATCAATGTTCTTAATTTCTGACAATTGGGACATTTTTAAATAGTTTAATCTGAAGGCAGTGATACAGTTGTGTAATATATTGTTTCTCTCCCCTTTTTGTTCTGTTTTATTGTTGCGTAAGGTTTTTTTTATGTCCACAAATGAGAACAAAACCAGCACATGTTAGAGGGACCAACGTCAGGTCTGCAATGCAGTGGAATGGAAAATGTCTTCATTCTCTTCTTCCTATCATAGTTTCTTGGGAGCTATATTTTTAAATACAGCTGTCTGTAGTTGTTCCAAATTGTTTGGGAAATGACATGAAAAATAAGAATGTGGGGGGGTGGGGGTGTATGAATCTCTACTCTTAAATATTATTAATGAGATACAGTGAAAGATTCTTTTTATCTAAGAGAGTACTATAGCAGGTATCAAGCGTGCCCCCCTCCCTTCTGAATATCTATGACACCAGTGTCAGGAATAATACATTTCATTCTTTGTGTAGGTGGATTCCTGTGAAATGAGTAATAAAGTGTTTTTGCGTGTTTTTTATGTGAATACTGCTTTGAGGCAGCATAAACCATAAACAGTTGTTACACATGAGTTTAAGATGTAATGTTAAATCCATAGTTGTTCATGATTAGTTTGACTTATTGATAATGAATTACACATTGTTCCCCACAGTATCAAGTCTAATGGTGACATCATTAATAATATGAACAAACATGATGAACCCTCAAAATACATCAAGGCCTGAAGCTGTAATGTGCTTTTAAACCAAAAATCTATTACGTGTTGAAATAAATCACCATTAAAAGTCACCATCACAGTAGACCCTAAAAGTACCAAATCCTGTGAGTTTTTATTTACAGCTATAAATGGATATTATTTCCTAATCCCCCAGCTCACGCAAAGGGACATTCTAACCTAAACCTCAATAAAAAGCAAAATAACTCAACCCACAAACTTCAGCTTTTATTTGCAGTTACACCGCCTACAGTTAGATGAAAACCTTGTGTGTTGTAATATTTTCTTTGCTGTCGGACGTGCTACATGAGGTATTTTTGTCACATTATCGATGATTATCATTGCTATTAATTTTTGAAGGAAGATGATGTATCATGTTTCAAGGTAAATGTAATATACTAGTACTATGTTTACTGTCTAATGTTCAACAGGCAGTGTAAATGTGTAAGTATCACATGATATACAGTACTTTACGTTGCTAATGCTGTGGTTACAAAGTATATTTAGACAAAATAAATTGCCCTGCTTAGTAAAAGTATTCATCTTAGACTTTTAACATCTATTTAACAAGATTAATTAAGTACCTAGTAATACATTTTTCATTTAAATTGAGTATTATAGGGTGGAGGTTGGTATCTGTCACCCTGGTCACACATACACACATCATACTCACATACAGTTGGAACCACATTAAATTATCATGCTGGTAAGTTAACACAATAATGCACGAATGGAGATAATGTTCAGCCACTTTGCATTAGATTAATTGTTAGCACATTCATCGATTTGGTACAATGTCAACATTTTAAGTAGGGTATGTGCATGTTTGTAGTGACACTACGATAATTATTGGCATAAAATACACATGTAATTTAACCACATCAGATATAATGTAACTGATGTATGTGCATATATGTAGCCACCGTATACCATTAGGTAATTGTATCACATTAACTCATCTACCATTTGTCACCATTCAATGGATTAGTCAGGTCATTATGAAAACGACGTCTGTCAGCCACTTTATCAGACATTCATTAAAGTGATTTGTCACTGTAGTTTGTCATTCGGGACAAGATATATTTGTGTTTATGTTTTTATTATTTATGTTGGTACTATATTCATTTATTTTGACAGAGTAGAGCAGAAAAAAATCAAATCTGGAGGGAGTCAAATTGAGATTACCCCAAGGCGTTTTGATTTTATTATAATTGCATGGATTCACACACAGCTCTCGCCCACTCACTTTGTCTTCCATACTGTTTCTTTCCAAACATACATGCTGAGCTATAGTAACATACAGGCACAACATTGCTAACCCTGCATTGAAATGATGTCTCCCATGTTAGAAAACAGAGCTCATGCTGACAGGGATCCCTCCGTCAGTTTGTCTGCTCTTGTCTTTGGTTTACTCTGATTAAAGGAACCATTTATTTTCTAACGTACCATTATTTGAATGCTTTGATTACAGAGCTGCATCATTGTCATTTTGATTAAAGCTGCAATTTCCTTTACCAGCTTTTGTTCAGAATATGATGGGGCTTCCAACAAAACACCTCGACATCTGATGTATGCATCTGAGTGACAGAGAGAGAGAAAGATTAAGCTTCCTATGAACAAATGGTGCTGAATGGTGCTATTGTTGAAACACTTTTTCCTACTTTCCTCTGTCTGCTTCTGTACTTCTCTTTTTGTCTCTCTCTGGCTCTCTCGCTATCTGTGTTCACCATTTTAAAATTTACTTTGCCTTTGTAACTTTCTTTTCTACTGTACTCTTCTCTCTCTCAGCATTGTGAGGGAGAAGAATCTGCCATTTTTTTTCGAATTCCTTCGCTAGGTCTCATTTTTTCCCCCACTTTATCCAATCTGTTCTCTGATTTTTCTTCTCTTTTCTGTATTCTGTTCTCCTCTGCAG